CTGAATAGTTATGCATTATTGTATATGCGGAGTATAATATCAATAGCGCGTTTGCTAAAAATGTGCAACAACAAAAAGAAAACGATACAACTTTTCAAATATTAACCGTAATAATTAAAATAAAGCCGTTATATGCAATAGAAATAATAATAGGGATGATACGGAGCCTGGATAGGAGGACAAACAAAAAAAAACTATTAAACAAACTTGAATGAGCTAATGAATGGGAATGTTTAAATTTCACTTTAATATAGTTTTTAAGAGCGTATGAATTAGTTGTAATGGTATTTAACGATAAATGATTTCCATTTACACATAAACCCAAACACAAACACAAACACAAACAAACAAACAAACAAATTAAGCAAGACCGGTCGGGTTAGAATATTATGTATAAATAATGCCTAAAATATGAAACCGTACGCAATGTAGCCCGAGCGAATAGACAAAGCTATGCGATAGCCGTGTACGATGAACACACAGCGTGACAACGAACACCGTCACACCATTGTATTAGATCTAAATGCATACATATATATTTTTTATTCCTTAACTTAATGCATATAAGCTTAAAATTTGCACTCTAAATAGCTATACTATTTTTTCTTAAATGCATCTATTTGAGAATGTGCAGCAAAAATAAATAAATAAAACAGAAAAATATGGCAAACATGGCTTAGAATAAAATTTATTGGAAACAGTTTCACATTAATTTTGGAATTAACGAAAGGTTAGGCGATAAATAAACAGCGGCCGAAAATATTGCGTTCTGCTGCTTTTCATCAGAAAATTATAGTTTTAACAATGAAACAGCGTAATTTTAAAGAAATAAAACGAGAGATAAATCATAAAAAAAAATGTGTATTTATGTCTTATAAAAATACGCAAGTGTATACTGTGTAATATATGAATGTATATACATAACTAGCTACATTAGGGTGGGTCGCGAAAAAAGCTTGTAGCTACACCTTTAGCATCGTACAGTTTCCTAAGTAAAAACACTATCAGCTGACTGCCAAAAAATGCCTACAGCTGAGATCACCTGTTTTTTTTTGGCGTTTGCTCTTATCTTTTACAATTTCTTTCATTTCTATTACAATTTCTTCCATTTCTATTACAATTTATTTAAAATACACTACCACATTAAACCAAAAACACACCTACAGCCTGCTAGGAAAAATGGTAAGAAGAGGATGTACTTTACTTATGGACATGTACGATGACCTTTAGTTTTAAATTTTACTTATCTCAAACACTTCCGTCCTATTCACGCCTTGAAAACATCAAAAATCGAGTTGTATTCTATTATTTTTTTCTTCATTCGCCACGATATAATTACAAGTTGTGATACATACATACATATGTACAAATGTGGCAGGGAAAATTAAAATTTACCTACGTATCGAAAAAATGAATTTTTTACTTTTTTAGCTACTCTTATAATAGTAGATTCTACGCCCTTTTCCTTGACCAGATAATCGATATGAATCACGTTAATGTGAAAATATCTTAGTCTATGCGATAACTTATGCCTATCCGCCCTATTCCCACACCACTGACAAAACTCAGCGGCTGACTATTGCCTTTACTACTGCGCCTAATACTATGCCGCAAATTTATTTTAAGCTGTCATATGACAATTGTCAGTTTTATTGTTATGACCTATTGAGAAAGTGACAACGGCGAAACAATGTTTATATTGTGTTTTAGGCGCAGTAATTGTGACAATAGTCATATGATGAATTTTGTCAGTGTTGTGGGAATAGGGCGGTATAAGGCCATTCTGGAAAACTAATATCAACTTTAAAAAGTTGGAAATTGAGTACGGATGGTCACCGTACTCCTGCAATTTTCACCACATTTTTAAGGGGTACTTGTCTCCGCTAGCGCATTGTTCACATTTTTAAGGGGTACTGCTTTCCGGTGCATGGCTTGGGTTGCGACTTTCATGTTCTCTGACAGCAGTTTCGGTGCCAGTGTGAAAATACATTCTAGCCAAATTTCCGTCAGAAAGTTAAATTGAATTAATTAGTTAATACTAGATTTACATATAAGTAGGTTATCCTCATTTTGGAGCTTATCTCCCTAATGTGCAATAAGAAAACGAGTTTGGCTATAAAAAATTCGTTCCTCGTTAATTATAAAACAATCTCAGATTAGACCGATACCTTTTCGGTGTCCAATCTAGTTGCATTGATTATTTTTGCGAAGAAGAGGAGAAAAGCGATCACGGTGGCACACAGAAGGAACTTAACATTTTCTTGAGATGTGAAAACATTAAACACAAGAAATTTGACAGTTAACCTGAAATTTGCCTGTTAAACGCGGTGATTGAGATAATATTTAAATATGTATATGTGAACATACTTCAAATCACATATCACAACACACCTGCTTAAAAATGAAATATTTCACGCCGGTAGTTTATGTGACCTGGATTGAAATATAGGAAAAATTATATGTATTGTCCGATTTGCTTGAAATTTAGCACGTAGATAGCTAATTGCCTGGGTTAACATATAGGATACGTTTTCCGTTAGGCGACCCAGGGACCGTTTTTGCCTTTCAACGACTCCTCGAAGCCCTCAAGTGGGCTTTTGCTAGTTTTTTATGTTTAAATTGTTGGCAACTATTAGATATTTTTGCCTTCACCGCAAAAGTTTTTCAATTGTTAGACACCTATTTGGCGGTTTTATCTACTCGTGAATATCCATATATGTACATATCTACACATAGTTGCCAACTTGGTGCTTTAAGGTTCTCTGCTTTAAGCACTAGAGATTTAGTGCTTTTTGAAAATTATAACGCCATAAAAATGGTTTAGTGCCTAGCGCTTTTTTAAGTGCTTTTTTCTGAACTCAAATTTCTCATAGATAGGTCAAACATGGAATATTTAAAGCTGTGGCAGTACTGAATTTACAAGAATTTACAAATTTAAATTCACTAAAATGCGACCATGATGGATAAAATACTGAAGTTGCATACCCACTTTCTTACGTTCTTGGTAAATTGTATTCGCGTTAAAAATGCTAGCACGCAGGTAAGTTAAGTATTTATTTTTTTTTATTGAAGTGAAACTTAATCGAGTTCGGAGATGGTTGCGTTAAATATTTAACACCAAGCCATAAAATCTGTATCGTTCGATTTTTAAAAATGAGGTGTCACATGAAAGGCCTTGTCCTTCGGGTGTTCAACGTAGCTTTAGTTCCATGAAAGGAGTTGCCACATGTTAGAAAATCGAATTTAAAATTTCTCTGCCGCAGAGGGTTGCGTAAAATATTTAACATCAAGTCATAAAATCTGTATCGTTCGTACGATTTTCAAAAATGAGGTGTCACATGAAAGGGCTTGACCTGCAGATGTGCAGTATGGTTTTAGTCTTTTAAAGGGTTGCCATATATACGAAAATCAAATTCAAATTATTTATTAAGTTAAACGAATTATCCCAATATGGGTATCAAAAGAAATGGTTTTGAATAAGTTGTATTTTCTAGCTAAATGTAGGAGGGTTGCCACCTGTTTCAAAAGTAAAATTTAGTTAAATTATACAAAAGTCTTACGCTTAAAATGCTATACAGTACAGAAAGAGCTTACAGAAACACAATTAAAATATTTTTGAGGTGCCTGAAGAGGGTGGCCACCTGTTTAAAAAGTTAAACTCAAATTATTGAAGCAAATCTTATTATTATAGCTCCGTTATGTTTGCGATAAATATTTAACGCCACGGTACAGGTAGCATATGATGGGTATAGAAAACGAATAGCTGCGTTAAAGGCCAATTGGGCGGGAAAAGACTAATGCAAAGACAAGAATATAATCAAAAACAAATATAAAGATAAGATGAAGATGAAGATGACGATGAAGATGAAGATGAAGAATTTCCTCTATTAAGTTTCACTTCTTCCACGCGTAGGGACTACACGCACTGAGTTTTTTTTCTTGATTATTGATTGATTACACAGTTCGAAAAATTTTTACTCTTTTTGCCAACTGATTTTTTGGTGCCGAATCCAAATGTGGCTGCAGAATTTCTCTACCACGTCAGAATTTTGAGATATCCTAACTTCAAAGTGTACAAACACGGTTTTTCGCGATATTTGAGGTTTGTTGCGATTCGATTTTTCTTTATCCAGATATATTGTGCAGTACTTCGGTTTTACTTCGTAATAGCGCTCTTACACGATAAGTATTTCTGATACTTTTCTGATGAACGGCAATGTAGATTTTCGCTCTCGTATTTTGACAACAAAATGCATAGAAAAAACGCTTGCATTACCCCGTTTAACAGACCAACCCAATATTCACGCCGGCAATTTATTTTCAAAAACATCTCATGCATATATAACTTGTATGCGACCAACCGAAATTGAACGGCGTGCGTAAATTCCAATTTTTGTTTTGCGTGAGATTTTGATTTGACGTTTCGCTCAGTGAAATCATATGCAAATGCACGCAGGCCAATTTCGGGGGACACAGAAAAAAACTTATACGGCGTGCGTTTATATTAGGTTAGGCTGTAACAGCAATTTCCCTAAACCTAGTTAGAACTGTTATTTGTAAAAACTTACAATTTAATTATTAATTTTTAGCGAAAAACGATAAACAGAATGAGTTAAAGTCAGCATACAAATCGAGTTTATTTTATACATTAGTGCATATATATGTAAGTAATACAATGTAAAGTAATACAATTAAATCATATACTACTTCACAATATCTTTTAGATAATATAAAACTTCACTTTTTGATATAACTACACTACATACATAGGTACATAGTAACATACATTTTAAAGTATAAGCGTATACATATACATATGTACATATCGCCGATTTCTTTGCAAAACCGCCCATCGCGATGCCTCGGCCAGTGGCAAAAGCGCCTAAAAAACTGGGATTTTTTTTTTTAACGGCGCTTTTTGAATAACGTTTTTACGATTTTGATGCTTAAAGTTCGGTGCGTGGAGTTCAGGTTTACCAAGTCTCCTTTTTGCCACTATGGCGATTTACATCCATAGCGAAATAAAAGCGTTGTGCGTAGCGTTTTCTGACACCTAGCGTTAACGCCAAAGTTTTACACCTAAACAAAAGCGGCAACTCTACGTGAAATGTAGAAACAGCAACAGTGGAATACGAAAAAAACAGTTTCGTCATATCCTACAGCGAACTGCACTTTCCAACGCTCTGTCAAAATCGGATTTTCCAACCGCCCAGCGTTTCCGCCACGTTATTTTGGGTATGCTTCATACAAATTGTATAGGCATGAGCAATTTTTGACATGTAGACTATGCTGATGCTTTTATATAGGTGTATGGATATCAGGCGGTTTTGCAACTGGTCGATGGGCGGTTTTACAAAGGCATCGGCGATACATTTTTTAGTAATAAGTACACTCTTGACTCATACATACACAAAATATCGTCCCTACTACATTAAGTTACTTTCAAAGTGCATACATAATTACAACTAAATAATTAATAATTTCATCATCGTGTACTAACTACTCATACATATTTTTAATAATTAGTTTTTATTTATTATTTTCCAGGTGTAATTTTTCACATATTTATGCATGCCGTATGTTTGTACATATGTATGTATGAACGTAAGTGTATCAGTCTAGTAGTCAAAAAGTGTTTAGCATATGACTTGCTTGTCGGGGGTTCAATAACCGCGCAGCCGTGGGAGAGACGACTGCATCTGAAAAGAGAAATAAAAAAAAATAAAAAACGAAATGAAGCAACTGCATGCGAGTTGATTGGACAACAAATGATTTTTGCGCAAATAGCAATTAAATTACAATTTTTTCTTTTAAATAATTATATACAAATTTCATCAAGGTATCTCATGGTTATGCAAAAATTTCATGAAAACTTATTTGCCTACCACACGCGAATTTCCATAGTTGAGACCACCAGCTTGCAGCAACGACCGCCGACAGGTTCGCCATTCATTTCCGCATGTTGGTTTTTCTTGTTGAAGATATGATGATGATATATATGTACATATTCTAAAGGGGACTAGCAAGACTGACTGGCTGCTGCCAAAAAGTTTATGCAATTTCAAGTCAAGTCAATTATTTTTTTAAGAGTAAATGAGAGCTGCGCATGCGGATCAGCTTTTGCGATTTTTTGCTGCCTGCTACAACATCAGCCCCCATACATGTGGACACACTGAGCTGCACTTTGTTGATTGCTTATTTTTTATTTATTAATATTTCCTTTTTTCTCTGTTTCATTTCACTAAAGTTGGTCACTTGCTTGGACGTGCGGGCGCTCGCGCGCACTCGCTCTTCAGTCGTCGAACTTCATTTTGTATTCATTTTTAATTAGTCTAATATGTTTTACAGTTAAATATGCTCCAATTACTCAATGCATACATTATTAATATTCGCAAAAGGAAAAAGAACGATGTGGAATCAACATCTTTAGCAGCTGCTTGCACGCTTTTGCTATGCTTCACGAGTCTGCATACATATGCTACGTTTGTATACCTAAATACGGGTACATATTTTAAATAAATCATGCGCCTCCATGTAAACTCACATGCACAGTTTTATTGGCTTGCCCACCAACCAACAAACAAACATCCAAGTAACTGATTCTGATATTTTATCCCCCTCTTCGTCTTCACCGACTCCATAGCTATTCGTGTTCGTGCGCACCACAGCTCATCATCCACATGTAATCCTCTCATCTTCCCTCCAATCGCCCAGTGCCCCGGCTGTTGTCACGCAAATCACAATATGCCGCACTTCTTCAGCACAATTTTGCGTTTTCGCGCCGCCGCTGAGCTCTTTTTAGCCGCGCGCAACACAATTGTGCCACTATTGTTTTTCGTGAAAGTCGGACTAAAGGCACTGATTGTAGGCTGATGACCGCTGGAACCGCCATTCAAGCCGCCGCCACCACCACCACCACCATTTCCACCTGCATGCGCATACGCCTGTTCGCTGCTTTCATTTAGCATCAGCTGATGACATTTTGTGGCCAAGTATCGGAAAACGGATGCCACATTCACATCTTCCTTAACGGAGGTGCGTATGAGTCGACAATTTAATTGACGCGCCAGTGTTTCCACCTCGTCTGCGCTCACTACCGATTGTTCGATAAGATCGATTTTATTCTGTACGATCACCGTTGGTATCTCATTGCATTCGTTTGCCACTTTGCGCTTCCAGTCTCGGATCGCCTCGAAAGAGGCGCGATCTGTCGTGCTAAAGGTTAGTACACACGCCTGCGCGCCGCGATAATAGGCTTTGGTTATGGCGTCAAACTCTTCCTGGCCGGCAGTGTCCCACAACATGATGCGCACATCCTCGCCGTCGATTTCGATTTGTCGCTCCAGAAAATCGACGCCAATCGTCTTTTTGTAATCCTTGGTGAAGATGCCTTTGCAGTAGCGCTGGATCATCGAAGACTTGCCTACACCGCCATTGCCTACAATCACCACTTTAATGGCGATTTCGATGTCGTCCTCGCGCATTATGTCATAGGCGTTCGAGGGAGCCGTTGTTGTAGATTTTACTAAACCGGATGAATAAAAAAAATTTGCTTGTCGCTTGTAGCTTGCCGCTTGCCGCTCGCTGGCAAACTTCACGCTGCAGCTATGTAACTGAAAGACAGTGAAAAGTTGTCTCGCGGTGCTTCAGCGCATCGCTATTGCGAATGAGTAATTAATTTTACGAGTGAATGGATGGGATATTTATTTGCCTTTTGTAATTAACAACAATAGGTAACATTTAGCATTCAGGTTGGAGCGCTGACTTCGACTATGCTAATAAGAAGCGATTTGAAACGGTTATTTTTAGTGGCGTTCGTTTTAATTGTTTTCGGCTGTTGCTGAACATTCGGTAATACCTGTGAAATATAACACAATTTTTAATAACGCATATTTATAGGTTTTAAAACATTTACTAAAATTAAATACTAAATAGTTAGCATCTTAGCTCATTAGCAGTGTTTTTGTTTCATCAATGCTGTAGTAATAATTTATCATGTTGGTAACCGTTATTTTTTTCCTTAATTCCATACAAATTTTTATAGCTTGTGGGCCAATATTTTCCATTCACTTTCTATTAAATGATTTCTCTGCACTTTCAACCTCGAGCAACAGCAACAACAACTAAGCAAATGCTTGCATGGAACTACATACATACATACATATATATGTATGTAAATCGAAAAATAATTAACCAATAAACTAAACAACTTGACTACCAACACGCAATGCCACTAAAGTTGTAAATCATCATCATCACCATCCACTGCAGCAGCAGCAGATGCAGCAAAAGTTTCCAACAGCACAGCGGTAAGCTGTAAGTCAACTTATCAGTTTCGCTTACTTGCAGAAAGTCTTCAAGCTCTGAATGCACATAATCACAATCATTAATGTTCAATAGACTACATTGCTAATGCATTGGCCAACCGAGTTGGCGGTGGCGGTGCGGGCAACGAATTTTTCGATTACGATTTGGCAGCTACGCTCATGCAACCGGCGACAACCGGTTGGAGGTTGGTGTTTACAAGCGTTCAAGTTATGCGTTGCCGCAAGAAAAATGTGGCGTTATACCCAATGCATTAATGCAGTTGGGCAAGGGGGTAATCTGAAACACTATCTGCTAGTGGTTGTTCTTCGCCGATAGACTTACGTCCCGACTCCCGAGCAAGATGTGAAAATATCCCAACCGGAGGATCTGCTCATTGGAGCCTCTTAATCTATGCGTACGATAAAGATGCCAGACGTACTCCTTTGGAAAGTATCTTACTGCTTTTTTTTACTTTTTTTTTACTTGATTTGCTCAAATAAATTAAGGTGAAAGGTATGAAATTTTAAGAAAAAGCAAAAAGCTTATGCTGGATTTTCACTAGGCGTTAAATGGCAAAAATGACAAATGACAAAGTCGGGCATTAAAAAATATTCGTGTTATTATTTTAAAAACATAGTCATTAAATTCATTTCCACATGGCATTTTTTTAAATGGCATGCATTTTTTGTCATTTCAATGCCTAGTGGAAATTCGGCATTAGTTTTTATACATACGGCTCAATATCTCACACTTCATACAAAGTTTAGAAATATTCAATCACTTTTCATTAATATTTTGAAATTTTTAATATTAGAACATTCTTGGATATGCACTTTTATCGCTCAGAAAACAAAGTGCAAGTCAGCGAAAGAAAAAAATATTAAAAATCAAAGCAGTTGAAACTTGCACTTTATTGTATTAAAATTTTATGAGTTATAAAACTGTATCTTGCTTTCTTTGAGTTTTAGACAAAGCGATGTTTGGCGGTTCGATGTACTAGAGATGTCAGTTTATACAAAACAAAAACATCGATATTTTCGATGCATCGATGTTTTTTCGACATCCCTAGTTTAGCCGGCCCCACCAACTTCGTCATAGAGAAAATCAACTGTATTAAGTTTCTGAAGGCTGTTTTTGTTATGCTTGATGTTCATAGCCAAGTTAGAAAGTTGACAACTTTAGTGTGAACAAGTTCAGCTAGAATTCTATTGTCCTTTATTGCTTAACGAACAAGTCTCAGCTACTCTCACGTAAGAGTATTCCAGTGATTCAATAACGAACTATACATATGTATATGTACATTGGGGTGGTACAAAAACAGTAAAGTCGGAATTGTAATGCTCGCACCCCCTAGGATTGTTCTATATCGAAAAAAAGTATACCACTATTTTTTTTATTTTGAAATCAAAAAATATTTAGAGGTCGCTCAAAGCGCCCAAAGTTTTTTCATGTATTTTTATATGGGAAAGAAACAACTTTTCGTAGAAATGGTATAGAATTCTTGAAAATCAATATTTTTCGATCGGAAAACTCTGGTTCTCTTCAAGTGACTTTCAATAATAATACCCAATTGTTTATTCAACCATTTTTTAATACGAACGATTGTTTAGTGGTCCGCCCATTGCAGTTTTCGGGGGTTTTATGGGTTTTTGGCGGACCTATAAATTATAGTTGCGATGAAAAAATGGTTAAATTAACAATTGAGTATTATTATTGGGAATCTCCTGCAGATAAACAGAGTTTTCCGATGGAAAAACATTGATTTTTAAGAATTATATACCGTTTCTACGAATAGTTGTTTTTTTCCCCATATAAAAGACATGGAAAACTTTGGGCGCTTTGAGCGACCTCTAAATATTTTTTGATTTCAAAGTAAAAAAATATGGATATATTTTTTTACGGTATAGAACAATCCTAGGGGGTGAGAGCATAAAAATTCCGACTTAACTTTTCCACATGCATTTTTGGACCACCCTAATGTACCTACACATATTGAGATAAGTATACTCGTATGTATTCACAAGTATATACATACATATATGTACATATGTATTTAAAAAAAAAAGCATCTAGTTCTAAATTTAGATTGACCTTTTTTTTGCAAAATTATTGCCAGTTAGATAGCATCAGTTTGCAAATGGTGCGCATGCGCATTCATTTCCGTATTATACCTGTCACATGTATTGTTGTAGGTGATGTACATATGTACATATGTACTTAAAAAGCGGGGCTATGCAAGACATGGAACACTTAATTAAGAAGGTGCAAAATTAATTGAGCCACACAGATGGGCGTGTGGATGGAAAAAAAACGTAGATATTCGCACTTACATACAAAGGGTACGTTTGTATGCGGGTATACCTACATTTTAAAAAATGTTTGTCGCCAACTTAAAACAATTATGTATAAAACATATTTAATTAAACATTACAAAACATATTCAATGAAGATTTCCCCTCACACAACCCTCATAGCATGAATGCCATTCAATTTTATGGAAATACCAAATGTTTGCGCTATCTTGAGGAATATTTGCGAAAGCATTTTTCTTACATGGCTCTTCATTCATTATTTACTCTTTCTCTATTTTAATTAAGGCTTAAGCTTAAGTAATTTTCGCATTTTTGTTGATATTAACGTTCTTGGCGTTGACTTGTCGGCTTAGTGTTTGACATGCGCCGCTTCGCACGAGCTACGCACACAGGCGCGTCTACGCAAGTATTTTTGGAACCTGTTTGTACCTACGAGCCTCAAAATGATGATTTTTTAATGGTGTTGCCTTTTGAATGCCCCTTTCTCTTTTCGTGTGTGCGATTCTAAATTAAAGCTAAAGGGTGAGAAATTTGTGTGTTCCTTTCTTAAAATGTCACACTCTTGTAAGGCAACATTCTATGCCCAGTGAGCATTGTCAGGGCAGAGGGTTGCCCTGAAAATCAGATGGTTGTTTAAAACGACAATAGCCCTGTTCGCGTACGCACTATCCAGTAAAAGCCAATACTAATTTTACTGGTTTTTACTGGATGGCGTTTTCGTACGCAAAAACTTGAAAGAAACTAGCAAAAGAGGGTAGATTGAGAGAGTAAAAATGACAGCTGAACTCGCAAGTTTTTTTTACTGCATAAATTTTTGCTAGTAACAACATATTTGCTAGTAAGAAAAACAGCTGATGGCATGATGCTTAATGCAATTCACATTACCAAAAGAATTGCTTGTGGTGCTTTTGGAGTTGAAATACTATTTTTCTTAGAAAATTGCATCGGAAAATAACAAATTAATTAGCTGTTCATAAAACTTGCAACTTCTTGCTGGTTTTGCATTTTCGTACTTTTTTGCATATTTCTCTCATTGCGAGTAAATATTGGCTTACTCTCCGAAATTTTGCTACTGACAAGTTACTGGATATTTTTTTGCTGGAGAATACGAAAACACAACTAATACTATTATTAAGGCAAAGACATACCTTTTTGCAAGGGTGAGTGTAACATCAAACACATTTTGCACCGGGGCAGGACAACATTTTTTGGAAGAAACAAGATCACCATAAGTTTGCTTTACAAGAATTTACATTAGACTATCTCAAATGAAACTACTATTTTTTTCTTTCGATCCTACATGAAAATTTCGTTGTCGGCCACCGAAAAATAGTTGTGGCAAAATTTCAACAACTATCTTCATTTTCAGTTAATAATAATAATAGATTGATATTTTAGTGGAGGGCACTACAGTTTTACGCCGACTCTTTTTCATGGCTGAATACACTCGCAAATATTTTGCCAATTTTTTGTAAAAGGTTTCGTTAATTTTTTCATTATAATTATGTCGTCGAACATACATTGTATGGAAAAAATGACTGACAGCATCAACAAGAAATTAAAAAAAAAAACAAAGGAATTCCTAGCTACTTTAAACTTGTACATACTTAAGACACTAAAATTGAATATGCTACAGTATCAAAACCGTTATAATGTTGTTTCTAAAGCAGTTCTCGGCAACATTTTAAGCAAATTTTATAAAAATTTAATGTCACATTTTTATCGATTGTAATATAGTGTGTATGTATGTACTTAAGCTCGTTGAAACATATTTTTGCCACTATTACCTTTTTTTAAAGTTTACCCAATTGTATCGATTAATTTTTCAATAACTAAAACTTAAAAAAAAAGCGTTGTAAAATGTAGGATTCATGAGCTAGAAAATCTTGCAAAAAAAAATTGTTTGAAAATGTCTTCAAAATTAAAAAAAAAAACAACGAAGGAACCCCTCGATTTTAATAGATATTTTTGAAGACGGCTTTAAATGGCCCTGAATTGTGTAAAAATATTTTGTTGAAAGTCATTAAATGTTACTTTTTGTGACTAACCGACTTTTTTTTTGCATTGAAGCTAACAAGCGCGCATTTTTAAATAACAAAAAATGCGTAGATATTTAAAGCGCAGCCCTAGTGGAAAACCCACGCAAAAATTTAAAAAAAAAAAAAATTAATTTTTATTCAAATGCCAGTAAAAATACAGATTATTGTTTCGGGTTTCTATTAAATAAAATTTAAAAAAA